TCATGATAAACAGTTAAAACCACACATATAGCACCTCAATACCATGGTAAAAATATAAGTGGTTGCAAACAATTTATTTTAACTTAATTTAAATAAACAAATTTAGCTGACTAACTTTCAACATATTTTTTTATTAACTGTAGCTCAAATAAATTGTTTGCAACCACTTACCTTAAAAAAGTTAGTATCATTTTTTTCAGTGTTTATGTAAATTAGCTCTGACTGTAAAATGAAAACTTGCATCTATTGATTTAATTAGAAAGAGGGGTTTTAAATGTGCCTGATGAACTCCTCGTACACCCACACACGGCTTACAAGAGAAATCCGTCTAAAAATAAAGTCTGAGTGTAAAGGAAAAAGCACCACGTGAGCAGAATAAATGTGATTTGTAAGTATAAAGCCGCTGAGGTAAGAAAAGCCGCTCTGCTCGAGTCCAAATAAATGCATTACTGCAATCAAATGTTTTTTCATCGTAACGAGCTAACGGCTTCAAGGCTGAATTAAGACTGCTATTCCCAATTGCCATGTACTGAAAGAGCGCAAAGGTAAGCTGGAAATTAATCACTGCATTACCTCAATGTCCTTTAGAATTTTGTGAGTACATTTCCCCAAGCGCATGCACCCTTCAAGACATTTGAATAATATAAAGCAAACAATGCCGGCCCCATTCAAATAATTCAATTACAGGGAAATGGCAGGTGAATAGAGGTCAGTCCTTTACGTCTTGATCTGCATCACTTCAAAGACACTTCATCTACAGGTTCTTGCTCAAAGTTCTGTTTTCATCTAGAAAACGTCTCTGTCATCTTCCCATTGCGCACTTTAAAATACAACCGTCAACTTCTCTAAAGCCAGGCATTTCTACACTACCTTAGGTACAATGCGAAAGGTTTGTTGACACCAAACCACTGCAAAAGAGCAATCATAGCACAGCACAGCATAGCATAGTTAAGGCTGCTCGCTTCAGACTTTAATAGGGTAATTGCCTGTGTGCCTTGGGAGAGAGAACTCCGCTCTCCATAACCACAAAATAGCTCAACGCTTATCAGATCCCCTTGTTCCAAAAACCCAATCTAAAGCCAGACTTATTATAGCCCCACTGATGCACTATCTTCCCTGCTTTAATTAAACTGCAAGCACAGATACAAATCCCGATAACCACTATTGAGAGCATCTGACACAATCTTCCCTCAATAAACGAAATCCCGATTATTCCCCCGTCGCAATTAACTATTGAGGTTAGGGGGGGGGGGCAAGTCAGACTCCTGAACAAACAAAATAGAAGAACTCTTTAGGAGTACCACAAGGGACTCACCGTGGCCACTTCTGAGGAAAGCTGGAGAACGGTATATGGAGATGGGCGAAGCGTGGTGCCGCCCGTTGTGAAACGGGTGTTCGGGATGCGTGTACGAGGTTGCCACCCCAGGGGGTCCAGCGGCAGCCACTGAACTATCCGAGCCGGGTGAGGAACTCCACACCGAACCGACAATACATCCCAACGTCAGAGACCACATCCAAGGGGTCCATCCGAGCCGCCCCTCTCGACCGCCAAGAAACGGCGCCTTCGCCGCTCTGCTGGGATGCATGACGCACACCCGACTCGCTCTTAGACACAAGGCGCGAAGAACCGAGAGAAGAGAGTTCTCTCATGATGCAGAAAACCCCATGCTAGGAGTCCCAACCTCCTCGTCCAGCACCCACAGCTGGCCCCTGTGAAAATGCACTCAATTAGGACGAGAGCCCGTTTACAGCTGCTGAGCCAACGGATGGGAAGGAGCGTCTGCAATGGGGTCCAATCCTCTCAAAGCTGCATCAGTCACCACGAGACCTGAAGAGGTGACAATTACCCGGAGGAAAAGAGGGTCATGACCCGACCCTGCCACTCATTCACTGTCCATCCCACACAAAGGAAGCAGAGGAAGAAAATACTTTTTTCTTCCTGCTTTCTTCAAAAGGATAAACTCTAGTATGAAACCGATTCCTCTTTTTCTTCCCGGCACTGTCCGCTCCTGGGCTCCTAAGGTGTTGCAATACAAAGGCTTGGGCTGAAACACTGCTCGCTGACACACGCACACGCTCTTCTGATTTTCTTCCTCCTGAGATTAGTATTGCTCAGCCTGTCTGTATTTGGACAGAGGCTTGACGCACTTTCAGCAGCTCTGCTAAGCAATGAGAGTGTGAGAGGGAGGGAGAGCGAACGAAAGCGCACGAGTGAGAGACGGAGCTGGAGGGAGGAGGGAGAGAGAGCGCGCGAGAGAGATCGGCACAGGTGAAACAAAGCAAACAGAATGGGATGAGAAGAGGATGTGTGGTTTGTGCCTGCATATGTGTGTGGTTGGGTGTAGAAGTGCGGAAAAACGGGGATGCCGATACAAATCCCCACTGAAAACATAGCTGCTGTCTCGGATGGAGATGAACTTGTATGTATTATGGAAGGAAGAGCAAATTAAGAGATACAGGGAGTGAAAGAAACAATGACAGACAGTTGTGGGAATTAAGGTAGAAAATAAAAAAAAACTTTTAAACAGCTTTCGCTGAGGAGGGAAGGGAAGTAATGCTTCCTCTCAGTAATATATTTGACAGTGTGAAAATAAAATGTGAAATGTTACGAAATATTATATGAAATTGTCTGTTCTCGAAAAGCTGCTGAAGCAAAAATCATGTGAGATGAAGCAGTGCCTCTATGTCACTGTGATTAGACTGTCAGCGTGATCACGTAGGCCTATGCCTCTCATGTTCCGATCGGTTTGCAAATCAGCCTGAAGGGGGAAATGGACAGACTAATTACAAAGTAAACAAATCACTCACTCTGACATCATCACTTACAAATCAAAACTTGAAATGAAATACAAAATTGGGTTTTTCAGGCAATTAAAATGAAAGTACATTAAAGCACGTGATCATCATTATACCTGCTATGTTTACAAAGAAACGATTGACTAATGGTTCTTAAAGGGAGAAATATTTTTATTTTTACATTTATATTTATATTAATACCACTAACTATTGTGCAGTTATCACTATTAAAGTAATACAAGATATTTAATATTAATAACTGAACAATAGTTAGTGGTATTAATATAAAAATAATAAATACAAATATAAAGTTAATTATTATTATTAAATATGTAATATTCATATTTAAAACCGAATTATTCATAATTGAACATTAAATATTACGAATAAATGTAATATTACTTTAATAACATTAGAACTTTTTTATATTAAAAACCAAAATAACTGAACATTAAAGAGCAGGTCATATGGGTTTTTGAAAAATATCTCTTTTGCAGTTTATAACGTAGCTATGCTTAAATGAAAACAATCTGCAAAGTTGTTAATCAAAAAAGTGCATGATAAATAAAGATATTGTCTCTCAAAAGAGAGAGTCGATTCTGAATCACCTTAACGAGTCGTCATATTTTCGAATATTTTGCCTGTTACCGGTATACGTCACTGGGTAACACATTTGCATAATCCCCACATTTTCAATAGAGTGCTCAAAATATCAAGTTTTTCACGTATCCACCATTATTGTTTTAAGTGTTCACAGTTTGTGCTTTGTCAATGGTAGCGCTCACTAACTTGCTCAAAGACTCCTCTCTGTGCCAATCACAGCAGGCTTGGCCAGCTGACCAATCAGAGCAGAGTAGGCTTATGGAAGGGAGGGGTTTGCTCCGAACTTGCTTGGAACGAATCGTTTCGAAATCATTGGCAAATGACTCTAATATTAAATGTATATTCTGAGAAAATTACAATGTTTTCTGACCTTAGATGCATTTAAACCTGTTGTAGGGGACTTCAACACAATATTTGGACACTTTAAAATACCATATGACCTGCTCTTTAAATATTAAATGTAATATTACATTAATAACATTTATTTGTTTGGTTTTAATATAAAAAATAAAGCTTTAAACTTTTTTCCCAATATTATCGTACTGATTGTTGCATTATCTTTGAAGGAACACACACAAAAAGTAAAATTGCATAAACCTAACGAGATTTAAAGGAAATCTGATTTGAAAATAAATAGCCTGTTAATATAAAGTTATAAATATAAAGAAAAAAATATTGTGGATAATGTAAGGTAAATGTAATTTCATGCTACATCATAAGCAGTGTAAACAACAGATTAAACATGACTAAAACCCAGATTAAAAACAGATTCAAACCCAGACAGACACGCCGCTATCATAAAGTAAATATACACCACCTATGCCACAAGACAATCAAAATGATGGACGATGTTTTGGAATAAAATGTCCTCTTTCTCCCCACTTGATTTTTCTGGGATATCCTTCCATCTGAAACAGACCAGTCCGGAAAGCACGGCTGACTGACTGGATCTGTTGCTGCCTCCTAAAATAGAGCTCCAGACCTTTGATTCGCTTAGTGAATCCCGGCTTATTTAAGAGGAAAGGAAAACAAGAAAATGTGATAATTGAATGATGAAAATGTGCACCTTTTCACAGAAAAAATATAAATAAATTGGCAACACTTGCACTAGGTGTTCAAACTGTTCAGGTTCAAAGAGCCTGTTAAAACAAGATGTTAATAAATCTTGAATTAAAGAATATTGCATGTTTGTCACTACAATAATTTAAGTAAAAAAATATTTTTTACATCACCACATAGGAAATAACAACAACCTAATTATTTGGTTTAATTTCTGTGCTCAAAATTTGGAAAAAAACACAATACAAATCCACAACGGGCCATATTTTGTATCTGTAATTTAGTTTTACATAACCATTTAACAATCTTTTCTCTTGAACCTGTAAAGACTTCTAACAATATGGTGTTGACATGTAAAGCTGATCGATACTGTGCTAACATCAATACCACGATAACTTCTGAACGACTTGTTTTTGCAGCGTAAACGGTAGGTAAATCTACGTAGTATATCGACCTCAAAAGAGCAATGATATGTCCCTTTAATAGGCAATCAAATATGAGAACATTGCCTCTAGAATGGATTATTTTGAAAGCTCTCAGAATGTTTCGAATCTTTAACCACCGCTGCTATTCACAGACAGTAAATAGCGGCACTGGAATTACAAACCGCAACAGCAAATCAGCTCTCCATTGATATTACTCTGGTGAAAGACTCTCTTAACATTTGCAGCTTTGTAAATGAAGAACCGTTTAGTTTAAATCCTGCGTGACTAGAATCAGTTCATATTCATTCCACAGATGGGTGCAGAGAAACGATAGACGAGGGCAAAAGCCCTCAGTGCTGGAAAAGGTACTCATTTATCAAAAGGACTGCTTTTCTTCATCTGCTGTGTCTTTTGCGTTTCATTAAACTCCAAACTCGGTCCTCAGAGCTAGTTCTGCCTTGCCTGAGGCATCTCTCGGGTGAGTGGCCTCCACGCTTCTAATGAGAGAGCAAAATATCTGCCATTTTTGCACAAGAAATTCATCTTCAACAATCCTGAGCCCGTACAATCATCGCATGTCCTCATATTAATAATTCAAAACGCGTTTGAAGCTGTTGGTGCTTTTCTAAACGATGTGTACAAAACTTTTTCTTTGTAAACAAGCAGTCATAAACAAGCAGGTATGCTGCTGGATTGCATGCGTAAAAGTCACTCAGCAACCCAAATGAGATGCATGTTAGCGCGTTAGCAGTCCTACTCTGGAGCCACTTGGAGGACATGCACCATCTTGGTCGACAGCTTTGGGATCAGCAGTCACAATCGGGCACAGATGAGTGTGTTTAGCTCTCTGTGGCATCTGCTAAGCTGCCTGGAGCTGTACTAGGAGACCTGGATCATGAGCTTGGCTTAAACATCATTATAGGAGGATCTGCTAAAATGAAGTGCTCATTTTACAGTACACATTCACTTTCTTTTGCACACACACACATTAATAAATATATATATATATATATATGTGTGTGTGTGTGTGTGTGTGTGTGTGTGTATATATATATGCACAAATTTAAAGTATAGTACGAATGATATGCCCGTGATGTAAGATGGAAATGTTGGCTTTAGTTTGATTTTAATCAGAGGAAATGACTGCTGCTTATTTAACATAAGTTACATAACCAGACATACCAAGACATAAAATACATAATGACACAAATTTATGTGCTATAATATCAATGTTGATAGCATGACTAATAATGATAGAATAAATAATATTACTGATGGTGAAAGTGATCTTTCCTTTTTTTTCCAACACCATTTTTCTTTTTATATATTCTATTTTGTGCTGAAATATATTTCTAGAAAGTGAATCTTTTAGAAAGTATAAGTTTAGCAAACCAGTCTACAGAGGGTTTTTAATGATAGATATTAAATAAATAAAAAATAATAATAATTTTGCAAAAGTTTGGGGTTGTTAAGATATTTGAAAAGATGTCTCTCAAGCTCACCAAGGCTGCATATATTTAATAAAAAACAGTAAAAACGTTAATATTATTATAATTTAAAATAACATTTTACTATATTTTAAAATGCAATTTATTTCTGTGATGGCAAAGCTGCATTTTCAGCAGCCTTTACGTTAGCCTTCAGCGTCACATGATCCTTCAGAAATCATTATAAAAAGCCGATTTGGTGGAAACCATTCAAGACTCTTTGATGATTAGAAAGTTCAAAAGCATTCATTTAAAAAAGTTTTTTGTAACAATGTTAAAGTCTCTACTGTCACTTTTGACCAATATAATGCTTCCTTGTTGAATAAAAATCTTGCTTTCTTTTAAATATCTAAAATCTTTCTGACACCAAACTTTATTAAATGTGCTAATAAAAACCGTTAATCTAGAACACATATCAAAACCGTAAATATATAACAAGTTTACAAAGACACAGAGGAGCCTAAATGTACATTAAATTGTACATTTAGGCCTACTTCTTTGATATGGCTTCTAAGTGGAATAAAAACACTAAAGGAACAAATAACACAAATTGCCTCATAATGCCAGCATTGATACTGCACATTAATCTGAAAACAAATTTGTGGATTGTTTTTTCTCTCCATATTTGAAACAAGGCAGCAATAAATGCATTTGATTCTCAAGCTAACCAAATGATCTGGAATGACACTACATCTTTTGGTAAATTAAACAGGGGCAAAAGTACTGTAGTGTGTGTTAAAATATTGATAAATGCAACCTGTCCATTTATTGCTCAACTCCCAGTGAACCCAAAGCGGTCCTAAAATAAGGCCTTTCCTTTAAAGCACCTTTTCTCCACACACCCGCTTAATTTG